TTACTCGTTTAAAAATTCTGGCTACGCCACTGGATAAGTGATAACACACATAAGTGTTGTCACGATAACTATAAATTATGGACGAAGATCGATACACGACTGACATTGTTCGTATGGGTGAACGACGCGAACGAATTTTTTTTTTTTTACATTTATATTTTTATACGTAATACCTATATTTACACTTTTATTTTGTAGCAGATATCGTAACGATGTCGGAAAAAATTGTTTCGAATCTCATTATATGGTATACACCGATCGTGCAACGACGAACTAATGAATGTATATTAGATCCTATTCAGTGTTGGCAATAGCTAATTAATAATTTATCTAAATGAAGACAATTACACTAAATTTTATATAGCTGAAGATAAATATAAACGAGTTGAGAGTTATCTAGATAAGATAAAAGATAAATCAATTCCATCTAGATATTTCCCAACGCTGATCCTATTAGGGTTGTAATCGACAATCGTGTTTCCTCACGTAAAATGTATCCGTTTTTTTTTTTTTTTTTTTTCACAAATTTATTATTCCTATTAATTATACAACGTGTCGGTGGCAGTTCTATTGCGTACAGACAAGATGGCCAGTCGCCGTACCAAATTGCTTAGTGTTCACCTGTTAACATGCGCTGTCGTGCCGTTTTAATAAGTAAAGAATTATTAGTAAAATGAATGAAAATACTTTACTTAGTTTTTTTTTTTTTTTTAACGATTATTTTATACATTATTAAAATAACCCTTAAATTTATTTTAAAAGCGTGGCTTGTAAAATATTTTTAAATTATGTAAGCAATATAAAACAAATTATACTTTGTTAAAAGGATGAATACAACCTATGTACATATTTTTTTAGTATCAATATATTTTATAATTATTTTAAGTAAAACAAAAAAAAAAAAAATTGAAATTATGGATTTTAGTCTGCAACCACTGCTTTTAGGTTACTTATATTAATTATATTCTAACCCTAAAGGCCTAGAAATACCCCCGCAACGTGTATAAAATAAATTTTATCATATCAACAAACACAATTAATGTAAATAAGTAATAACTTAATATTGGTAGGATGGATGGCAGTGAAGAAATTAGCGACAAGCATGAAATTTAGGGGTTCGTCTTTGTTTCTACATTTATACTACGATAACGTCGATAACTAGGTTAAATTATATAGATAGTTGTTTTTTCGCTCATAAATTGAATGTATCTCTTGTCGATAGTCATTATTGTAGTGCACAGACGAGCAATCATCTTGTATTTTGTGATAAATAAAAAAAACCACATTCAAACTTATAACCTTTCGTTTGTTTTTTCCCTGCAGCAGTTCTAAACGATATCGTCAATAAGTAGGTATTATATATGTCGTCGGTTTCAATTCTAAATGTTCGTGTTCTCCAATTAAGTATCGGTAAAGAAACCATTTGCACTCCCTCGCAGTCATCAAATAACTTTTTCTTGTTCCATCGACTTTTTTCAATCATTGCGGCGTAACATAATTGATTTCCAGGATATTTTATACTATGTTTAATGATTTTTTTTCTTAACATACACAATAAAGGTAATGTGTATCAACAGTAAATTGTATCTAGTTATTAGAAACAAAAAATTTATGATTGATTGTAGAGACAAATATTTATTTAGGTATAAATAGATAGACGCTTTTATACTACCTATGCTATTTTGTTTAATAAAATTATAAGAAATTACCCATACAGAATGATTTTCTAATCGTCTATCACCTGGTAACATTTTATAAAATACAAAGGGTATTTTAAATTTTTTTTTATTTTTAACAAACACTGAGCAATAATAACGTTTTAAAAAATAAATGAAAATGACTAAATAATTTCATGAAAATATTGTTATCTAATATATAGTGCCTGGGTTACGATAAAATATAACTGCAAATTATATATACGAGTATGAATACAAAATGTAGTAGTAAATTTATTAAATTTCAAGTATCGTAAAGAAATGGTAAAAAGACAATGAAATATATTTGATTTTGAATAAAAACTAGAATACATTAACATAAACAAAAGTAAAATAAAATTGCATAACTCTAATATTTATTTTAATTTATGTTTGGATGACAATTTTTTTTTTTTTTTTTATTCAAAATAGTTTATAAAAAATGACTCATTTTCTTGTTTTTATTCATAGGGATAACAATGAATTTAAAATAATTTTATTCAAGTCGTATAGTAAAAATTAATTTAAACTAAATTCTAGAATTTAGAATTAGTTCATATTTTTAAAAAATAAATAGTAACAGAAACTTGATTTTAATTAAATCAAATAACAATAAAGTAGGTTATTAATATAAAGCTAAAATATATAAAGCTTCCTTAATGATTTACTACTTAGTATTTAGGTACCTACTAATTGTAAATTAATTTTTACCCAACTAAGCCTAGGTACTTAAATGTTTACCTAAATAATAAAAATACTTTTCCTATCAAAATTATAAGAAAAAAGTATCAGCATACTAATCTGTATAAGCATTATATTATATTATATTAACATATAAATAATAATAATTTCATCATTATTTGAAATCTATATTATATTTTATAGTAATATTTATTTCAATTACCTATTTGAAAAAAAAAATTATAAAGTTTGTTTCCAAAATATATTTCAATGTTGTTAAAAATTCTGTGTGATGCGAAAGAAAAATACAAAAGTAAATAATTGTAAAAATATATTATTATTATAATTTTAAATTTTATATTTTTAAAATCAAATGTCGATTACAATTTATTTATGTTTACTTTTTTGCATCGACATTAAAATGGTAAAATAAGTACCTCTGCCTTAAAGTTTGTTATTATTTGTTATACTTATCATTGGTTTTAATTTAATAATATTATTAATTAAGCTTGATGCAATAAATTTGAGTAAATATAACATACATTTATCAATCGTAAGATTTTGAGTTATCCCATCATACCATTCAGTCATATTGATAATACCTGGTTGTAAATAATTTATTGTAAACGTCATAGAAAAAAATAAAATCGGAATATTAAATAAAAATACGAACATATAGTGCTATCTAGTGATTAAATTTCAAATCGACATTGTATTTCAAATAATTTTCAACTAAAGAAACGGGTCTCGCAACTCATCAAAAATAATTATCCAACACTAAAATTTTCGTTTTCTACTTTTTAAACGATTGCTTAATATTTAGACATTTAGTAGTAAAAAGTGTATTACATGTACAATTTCTTTCTTTCTTTTTAGATTCTAAAAAAAGCAATCGAGCAATGAATGCATTGGTTTTACAATGATATTTGCAATGTGCATGAACAATAGAGTAGTAGGGTTGTAGCCTGTAGGTACTTACTCTAATGTCCGTGGATGTGGGTCTGTGTTTTACTTGTCTTGTTTAATCCTTTCAAGCAGTAAAAATGCTTCTATATTCAATTTTGGTAATGGCATCTGATAATAAATTGGATGTAGGTAGTTTTACAAAATTAAATGTTAACAAATATCCTCAAAATCTAGATAATGTATAAAATATTTTGTAGTTTACAATTTATAAAATACTGAATTCGTAAAGCTAAGACATGAAGATTTAATTCAAGGTTGCTTATATATATGAAATAATTCTTATTTAAATTAAAATCTAAAAATGTATCTAACCATAATTATTGCTTTATAAATGTTTGAATTTAAAATAAATTAAATATTTATAAAATAAATAATGACATTATTTTGTTTTAATTCAAAAAAATTATTTATGGAGACTTAAAACTCTTGTATATCATATGGATATTACTATATGTATGCAATGATATTTTAAAAATGTGTATATTGATTTTAAGATATTACCTATTTATTCCATGAATTTGCTCACACGATTCACTGTAATATAGTATTAATTTAAAAGTTTAATAATAACAAAAACATTGAATAGTTCCAGAAAAAAAAAATTTAACTGACGACTGATCATACTAGTTGCAAAATAAATTACTTTAATTACAATATCAAATACCATAATATAATGAAATATGTTTGATAATTCAAATTTAACATATTAATTACAATAATTGATCAAGTTGTACAGTAGATGGGTACCAACTTGCACACTTTTTAAAGATTTAATCCATTTTCTATAATAGTGATTGTCAATTATTTAAATATTGGTGAAAATGTCACAATAACTGTTATAAAAGTTTTAACAGTAAAAGCAGTACCTGACACAGTGGTGTATATACGGGGAGACATAAAAGAGATATACCTCCCCCTTGATTTTTTTTTAAAGTTGTAAATGACAAATAAATAAATGATTCATTATTTAATATTTTCTATCATAATTATAGGGTTTAGGTACCTACTATGTACAGATATAATATATGTTAGGTGTGTAGTTATATTAAATTGATAGTATCTTCAAGTATTTCATGTGGAAGGAGAAAAACTATTTCAGTCATATCTCCAATTAAATCCTAAATACACCACTAACCTGACAAGAAATACACGTATATCTATAACTTATAGTACACCAATATTTAGATACTATTTTAAAGGAATAATTAAAGCAAAAACTAAATTAATAAACTTGATGATAAAATAAATATATAATATTTAGATATGTTTTTAAATGCAAAAAAACTTAAATAATACTATGGAAATAAAATGTATAAACATAATTGGATTGATTTTAAGTGGAAATTACAATTTCAGGACATTACAAGCTTCTAACAAATTAATAGACTTCTAATCGGAACACTAAAACACAATCTTATAAGAAAAAATTATATTAAAAAAAATGTTTAAAGTACCAATCTTACAAGCAATATAGTTATCTTACAGTTTAATAACATATTTAATCAATATGGATGTTAAATAGGTACTGAGCTTGGACAACTTACGGTATTGAATTATATTAATACATTAATTCAAATACTTGATTTAAAATATTTAAACTATGAATTAAAAAAAAAAAAAAAAAAAATTAAAAAATAACAGTCATATAAAAACCGAGCAGACTTTGTAACAAAATATTTTATATTTCTTAAATAATATTAAGATTAGGAGACAATTTTTGACTTGAACGTATATGCAAAATATAAAACCACCATGCTGACAATAGCAGCCAAGAATTCAGAATTGACCCAAGCACCTTTGTAAGCACCAGGGTAACGAACATATGCAGAGTGTACAGGCGTTACACTGCTGGTAGATTCTCCATCACGCAACAGTTTCCTGAGCTGTCCATAACCGGCCTCGTCGTAAAATTTCACGTGATAATCGCCACGACGAGCCTTCTTGAAGTCGTCTAACCAACTGACCTGTGGAAACACCGAACATAATAATATAAAATGATATTTCTAAAAACCATGGGCAGCCGATCAGAGCTGTGCCGTGTACGGGTTACATACTTGGTATTTGTTCGGACCAGCGTTGGCCGCCACCAGAAGTCGGCCTTCCACCTCGGCGTACAGGTTGGACGGCGAGTCTTCGCACTCGGCGCTCACTTGTGCGACGAAAGCGGCCTCGGTGACGATCATGGCATCGGTGGTGGTGTACGACTCGACGGAATACTTACAACCGGCAGTGGATGAAGCCGCCGCGCACAGCGACAGAGCGATGAGAATGCAGTGGGTGGGTGTCATCGTGAAATTCGGATGAGAAAATACGGCAAATCTAGGAGAAACAAGAGAAACCGCGAGCAAAAGTCGGATTAATAACGAGTCGACAAGCGGACGCGGCTTCAGAAATCTGGTTCGAATAATGTAAAAGTGCCAACTGTTACGACCGAGTTTCGCGGCGTTTGTGATAACCGGTCTTGCCGATAACGCGTGTAGCGAGATGTCATCGTTTTGGGGTGTTGCCAACGTGACGAGTGTGAGACGGAGGACACTGCACTGCTACCTCAGGTGAAAAAAAAAAAAATATGAATACCTACCTAAGAACTTTCGAGTAACATCTGAAAATGTAAACGAGCCAGATGAGATGACCGAATCATCTGGTTTCGTGTTTATAATTTTTCAAATAAATTGGACGAATGAGATTCATTAATAACATGTTGTACTATTCGTTTGTCGCGATCGTAAAAGAATTTGAAAAAATATTTGTCGCGGGGTCAACACGGGATCGATCGTCTCATTTTTTTGATAGGTATTTACTTTTAATTTTGTGCAATCGCCTCTTAAAGTACTTGGACGTTTACATTTCAAAATTAAACTTAAGAGGATTCTGTGAGTCGAGATAAAGTCTATCCGATACCCAATCAATAGTAGCTTTATTCAAACAATATTGCACATTTTAATGATTTACGTATTAGTTTAAACAAATTTCAAATGTAGGTATTTCATTTCCCCAAATATATTGAAGTAAGGTTAGGTTAATAAAAGAGATTTTCATATATTAAATCCGATGACAATTATGGCCGCGACATTTCAAGGTAAAAAAAAGTCAATATTTTAAAACGTGATGGATGAATAATGACTGATCTCAAGTTAACTTCATTAAATAATAACACATTTATACATATTTTCAGATACTTTTCCGCATTAATATTTTTAATTGGTATCATAGATATGAAATAATTTTTTTTGTAGAAAATAAAAACGCAAACATTCAGTATCCAACCCTCAAAATCAAAATATACATCATGTTCACTTCCTTAATTTGTTTTTAAAAATATTTTAGATTTCATTTACAATACATAATAAAATTATGATTTATCAAAAGTATATCAGTATATGATGATATAAGTTATTTTATAAAACATAAATGTATATGGAATTATGGAAGTATAATATAATCATTAGTAAAAATTTAAAATCATGTAGGTACCTACGTCTGACTATCTGAGTGTATCACAAATCACTGATCAGTGGACATTTTAAGGAGTGATGGTGACATAACATAAAGGTTAAGAAACACTATGGTCTACACATCTACGTGTGAAATCCCCGTCCTGGGTTGTTTATTTATTATTTTAATATTTTGAAGTACAATATATTTACACTTACATACCTATTTAAATATTTATATCACGACGGACACGACGTAACTACATAGGTATTGTACACTGTGTCACTGTAGTCAGATTCTGCTGACCGTCAACAAAAAATTGCCGGTATTCATGTTACAACAATACCTATGTAAATACGTAATACGTTATAAGTATTATAATTTATAATATCATGTAAGTATATATTTCAAACAGTATTATTGTAATCTATAATGTATTAAATTATTGAAAAAACTGTATTAAGTACAAGGATTAAATATAAGATTTTAAGTTATTTTATACTTACCGAAAGGCGAAAGTTGTCGTATATGTTAAATCTTGAAGTTTAAAGGGTCAAAGTGAAATAAATATTTAGTTAACAGCTTATAAGTATAGGGACTAAAATAAAATAGAAAACAATTAAGTAATTTGTAAATATTTTATGGGACGATTGACGACCAGATGAAACACGTCGCATTGTCGCACAGAATAAATTACTTTCTTGAATAGTACTGTATTATTGTATAAGTACCTACGGAGATACGGTGAATGGTCACACGGGTTTTCCATTGTAGGAAATCTCAATAACTATTTGTACTTTTGAACGAAATAATATAAATATTAATATTAATAAATAACAAAATCAAACATAGAAATAATTATATAATAATAATTTCAAAAATCGTTTTCATCCATAAATCAGTAGATATATTAGTTAAAATATTCACGGTTTCAAACAAGTTAATATTTTTTCTCTTGATACATTGATATTATTAAATAATTTTAAAATAAAATATTATAATAATTATATATACGTAGAAACAACTGAAATCGAACAGTGAATGCATTGCTTGAATAGATATTAACTGAAATATGTAATAAAATTTTCAAATGGTACACAAAACCAATCAATTTACCGCTAATAAGGGTTTATAAATATACTGAAAATAGATTGTTATATAAAGAAAGTCTCAGTTAAGTAGCTAATAAAATATATTTATTGATTTAAGATAAAAAAAAAAACCCGATAAAAATAGAATCGATGGAACAAAATAGCAATGAATTTTTATATTTTTATGTGAACTAAAAAAAATGCCATCTATCTATTTATTTACATCCAATTATTTTAAATTTAATACTATTGGATCTCGCCATAATTCTATACCCTATGGGTGCATCAAAAAAAAAGTATCCACAAAATCGGTACATTTATAATCATTTATAATATATCATATTGTATTTCTGAAGAATTTTAACTATATCTAAGTATACCTACGAGTCACTCGCGTTCCCCTTATTGCTCAAATATATAAATCTTAAAAATTAAGGTAATATTATTAACACTTTTTACTTTAGAAATTTTTTAAATGTTTTTAAAAATTTGTTTATCTAGAATTATAGGTAACTAATACTTTCTTAAAATAATATGATAATAATTAGGGAATAAAAAAGAAAAACTTCCAAAAAAATAGTATAAAAATAATAATTGTTATTCTATTTCTGCTTAAAAATAGTTATATTTACATGAAAAAATATATTATATTCACAACAAAATATAATTTAACAGTTAAACATAGTACATTTTTATTTATGTATTATAATAAAATTTGGACAACAACGTACAATAAAAAAAATGTAAATTATTTACAAATTATAAAATTTAGGTACTCAACATGAGTTATTCATACTTATATTTATATAATATATATATATATAATAATATATTATGTGTTTAACACGTTTTGTTCACATACTTTTTATACTTATGGATTATAACATTAATAAAAAAAAAAAAAAATTATTCAGTCATCAATATTTCATGGTTAATCAAAATAATAGATTAATCATGAATATAATTGGCACAATGCGTACTTGTTCAGTATAAAAGTACAAAAATAATAATAACCTATTTATCCATTTATTTACAGTGCTTTATAAATTATTTTTATTACCGGGTTTTATCTTAAATATTAATGGTGGTTTTTAATATTGTTAGCGTCAAAAACATATAATTTATCAGTGTTTTGAAAGTCATTAATTAAAAAATTACAATGTATTTATATGAAGTTAAAAAATAAACCTTTTATTTGACACATCTTTAGGTAAACTCATATCTATTTTAAGTAGGTATAGATACAACACTATAAAATAAATTTCATATGGCGTTATATAATAACATAAATGATTAGAAAAACCATTCTAATCCAAAATTATGCGCATTTACGTACCTGACTTAAACTTACAATTCTAATTATTACTAAAAGTATGTAAATATACAACACTGGTTAAGATATTTCTTGTATTATTTTTTTTTTTTTTATCAAATCAGATTTTATTTACGAGTATAATAAACAGAATGTAGCAATAATTTATGTAGTTCGACAACAGATACCATAATATGCATCATGTTTTTAAGCAGTCTTCGGTTGAGTAAAAAAAAATAAGGAAATGGCCCAACTGATATAATTACCGACGTATAGCATTTGTACACGATAATCGGTTAAAAAGATTATTTAAATTGAAAAAATATATCACATCGAAACCAAACGCTAACCGTATAGTGTCATGCGCATCGATTGTTAGTCAATACAAAATATGGAAATAGATTTTTACGAGTTGTGTGTCGTAGAAACGTAATATTATGCGAATTATTGTATCAGTTACCATTATCACGCGTTAAATATTAGATACGTCTGCCAGGAAATCGAGGCAAAGAATACGTAATGACTAGCAATAACGAGCAGCAGCAGCAGCAGCAGCAGCAGTAAAAGTAGTAGTTGAAGTATATAGTCAGCGTATCCGGACATCCGAAAATCCCAACAGTCGCGTTACGACGACAGGAACCGAACGATACCGGAAACACTGGCGGCGACGGTCCGGCTAACGTTGTCACACGACGACGACAGCTTACCATAAACCGTACCGCAAACGGTGACGCGCACTCGGGTGTATGGCGGTCCGCGATAACGACGGCGAAGAAAGTAACGGCGATCGTCGTCACCGCAGTTGCAGTAGTAACGCGGCGACGGTCGCGTACGACGAACAATTATTGTTAGGTATTATAATATTATTTCACGCGGTGATTGTATGGCGGCGGCCGATCGGTCAGAAAAACTTTTCCTGTTCCAGGTCGGCGCGGTTGCGCATCGTGTGCCCGTTGACCAGGCTGTGGCTGTTCCGCTTGATGGTGGCCGTCTCGTAGTCGGCCGGTTTGCTGAACAGCCTGGGCAGCGTGCCCGCGGCCGCGGTGCCGTTGCCGTGATGCTGCGCGCCGACCGTGGTCGACTTGGTGAACGACGGCGTGCGCTTGGCGGGCGTGCGGTACTCCTTCATCGGCACGGTCACGTACGGATTCATTTCTTTGAATAAGCAAGCGTCATCTCGGGTTCTGGCTGCAACTATTTATTATTTATATTCAACACAAAATGCCACTACATCTCGACCAATGACCCATATCGTGCATATTTTCGCGTCCATCACAGTTCCATATAAACCAAACCGATCTCCCAACCCTTATCCATGTCATGAGCATCTGTATTCTTAACTTTCAACTCCCTTCTTGTGCTATCATCATGCAAGTTCACGTACTACCTTCCTCCTGAAGATCTAAGTATTCGCAAAATATCCAACTATTCATTCTCAAAGCTCAATAAGGGTAATGAAATGAGACTATGGATATCTATTTGAGCATAATAACTATTAGCATGCCACATAAGCAATAAACCTCATATGTAATGTGTATTAACATAAATATGCCGATGCATATTCAATTACGATGATAACCTGGTATTTTCTCCAC